CTTTTCCTAGTGAGAGCCAAGCTAGGTGACACGGGAGTGTACTCTACTCTCAGGGCTCAGGGCTCCCGGATGGAGGAAGTGGATCGCATGGAGGCCTGGGGCATACAGAGTTTTGAGAGATGGGATTTTTCTTCCATGTACAGCTTGATCCCCTTAAACTACAACTCCTGTGGTCTCCATGCAGCCCCAAAAGGTAGAGGTAGGCTGTCCTTGAGACCACAGGTCTTCCCTGGGCAGGGAGGACCTCAGTGGACTCTCCCAGGCCTGCCGGGAACCTTTCTCTGGGCTGAGGCCAGCAGCTGGTGACTTGTAGCTGACTGAGCCAGTAACTATAGTTACTAACTATAGTGACTATGGTCTGAATGTGTCCCCCACAAGTTCATACGTTGAAGCTTCATCAGTGTCATAATATTAAAAGAGGAGGGGTCAGGACGTAAGTCATGAAGGATAAGCCCTCATAGATGGAATTAGTGACCTTATAAATATTAATAGATGCAAGGCAGGTAGGGAGTGTTCAGTGTCAACCCCAGAGGACAAGATCCTACACGGCTGATCACTTTGAATCCTGGACCACTGGCTTGAAAAACATGCTAGGCATACGGGTGTGTGTATGTGCCTCAAATCCCAATAGAATAGAAAAATGGAGAAGGGATTACAGTGTGACCACTTCCCACAGAGGGGTGCTTGGTGAGTGTACGTGCCATCTGACAATTAAAAAAATAATAATAATAAAAAATAAAGAGTTGCAGAGGAGCTATTCTCTCTTCCTGTCCTTCTGGCATGTGGAGATACAGCAAGAAGCGCCACCCATGAAGCCATAGGGAGCCTTAGCAAACACCAACACTGCTGGCTGATCTGGGACTTCCAGCCTCCAGAACTCAGAGAACTAAATCTATGTCCTTATAAATTACCCACTCTCAGGCATTTTGCTATGGCAGGAATGAATGAAGACAGGCTCTCTTCCTGAAACCTCGCCCCTCAATCTTGTAATCCACAGCAGAAAAGAGGTCTACGGTCTACGGAAGGGCCAGAGCACAGCTGGGTTTGAAGGTGCAGAACGGCAGTGTGCACTCTACAGGGTAGAGTCGGAGTAAATGAGAAGCGGGATCCTAGCCTCTGGGGAAAACGCGGCCCTTTTCCTGTCTGTTTATCGAAGAAGGGTATGCCAGACCCCGCTCCTTGGATGTGGGTATTTTTGGGTGAATAATGTGGGTGGAGCCCCTGGTTATTATTATTACACCAGAGTTTCTTTTCAGACATCCCTATTTCAGTCATCCTCCTGCCGCTCTTGGGATAGCTGGGATATAGGTTTTGCCGCTGTGATGGAGACCATGACAAATTATGACTGAAACGACATAGTGTTTTCTCTC